ATTATCTAAATACTAAAAGAAAAGTATTTTAATGAATCATGATTATTATTCATCATCAATCATCATTTCGTAATCTTTGTATGTCTTGGCTTAATTAACACGCACTCCCCCATTTTCCTTCTCATTTTCCCAGAAAAATACCCGTTTTTTTCAAATTCATCTACTTCCTCCTTCTTCCCCTCTCTATATTTAGGGTTTTTGGTTCCAACATGATTTTGATCTACTGTTGGAATTGAGACCATACTAGTGTAGTATTGGATTCGTTTCAGGTCATTTTTTGGGGGATTCAACGGCGATGGAGAACGGAAAGGATGGGGGATTCGCAGACAAGTTCGCCGGATTGGCGCTGAACGACGCGTCGGTATCGACGACCAACAGCGATAGCTTGTTTCAGGTCATGAAGGCCGTGGAAGCCGCCGAGGCCACTATCAAGCAACAGGTTAGCTCCTATTTTCGTGTTTGTATTGTTGTTCTTGTTTCGAATTGGTTTCAGCATTCTCTTGATTTTGCATTTCGTTGTGTGTTTTTAGTTTTGAGTTTAGCTATTGAAGTGAAATCTCGAACTTCTGCTGATGCTATAATTCATGCCGGCTTCTTTCTTTTACCTATAACAGGCTGAAGAGAACATCAGATTGAAGTCCGAACTGCAGAGAAAACTTCAAGAGATCGAAAATATTGTACTTCTCTTACTGTTTATTGCATATCCATTTTCAAGATTCGTCTCGAATTGTTCCAGTTTTTGTTTATTGCGTAATGCTTATTTCTTACAGATTATCTGTTTTCACAGAAAATAGATGAATCTGCTGCTGGAAGACCGCATTCTGTGGATAATCAAGATGACAGGGTCAAGAACTCTTCTTCTGTTTATCCATCAGCTACATTTTTCGGGTTGAAGTTAAATAGTGAGGATGGGCTCCTCCAGGCACGTGAAGAAACCCACCCTGAGACCAGCAAGGTGAATGGGACGTTGAATGTTCTGCCTGGCACTCAGCCAACTTCAGATAATGCTACACGCTCCCAATTTTCTCTCCTCTCACCTAACAGGTTTTTGACTTTAAATATAATTACATATTGTACTAGTAGTGTTGAGAATGAATTTATCCAATTTTAGACATCATTTGATGCCTTTGTTGTAGGGATCAGATAAATTTACCAGGACATGGGCTCATGCCAATGACAGAAGTAAATAATTCCAACAGCCTCTGGAAGCAGGTAGCCCCCTAAGGTCTCATATTTGGTCTTAATTATTGTTCAATGACCAAATTCTACATTTATCTAGGATCTTGCACTCAAGGTTCGGGAGCGTGATGAAGAGATTTTGCAGTTGCGGAAGCAGCTTGCAGAGTATTCTATCAAGGTATAAAGGCCAGGTGCCACTTCCCAGGTTGCTGAATGAATATATCTGTCTTAATTTCGTTCCTATTTTCAATTGGATCTGCATTAATTGAGGGCACTGAGTTATCCTTTACTTGCAGGAAGGCCAAATTCGCAATGAAAAATATGTTCTTGAAAAGCGTATCGCTTATATGCGACTGGTAGGAAAGCCTTTCTTTTCCATATATTGGAATATTCTCTCTCTCATTCACACACACACACACACACACACACAGACAGAGTGTGCGCTCATATTTGGGATAATTTTACATAATATTTTCCTATTTCTTGCTACTAGGCCTTTGACCAACAGCAACAAGACCTTGTTGATGCTGCATCAAAAGCTCTCTCATATAGACAGGATATAATGGAGGAAAATATACGTCTAACATATGCATTACAGGTATTTTCATTTTGCAGATGGGGAGTGAAACTTGGTATTACTTTTCATATTATAATTGTACTGACTCTATTTACCTGTGATGGATATTATACACTTATTTACCTCATCAAAAAAAGAAAAAAAAGTAAATACCTTTTTACATGTATATTTGGTAAGGCTATTTGATATCATGTTGATTGCTGCCTTTTTCTAATATTTTCTCCAGATTCAGTGGGAGATTTCTGTATTTCTTTGTTTCTGAATTTCTCTTAACTTGATAATGAGTCAGTTAAACCTAAGCCTTTTCAGTTTTTGTTAGTAAACCACAAATTCATGCCTGAAAATCTTTTATGGTAAAGTTGTTTAGAATCAGCAAGTGACTTAGCTCAATAATCCCAATGCTATTTATTAAAGTGAACCCCCTAACAAGTGTCTTCAAACCCCCCACCCCCTCTCCAAACAAAAGAAGGGTTAAAAAGAGAATGGAAAGCAAAATTACCATTATGAGGATGATGATTTCAATCATATTCGGTTCCAATTATTGGCTTTTATCTGTAATGGTTCTATATTGGGTTCTTTCAGGCAGCACAGGAAGAAAGAACAGTATTTGTGTCATCTCTGTTGCCTCTTCTTGCTGAGTATTCTCTGCAGCCACCAGTTCCTGATGCTCAGTCCATTGTAAGCAATGTTAAGGTCAGTCTGCAATGGTTTTTTCTTTTCTTAATTTTCTCAAGGTAATTTTTAATGCTGCTATCTCTTAGTCTTCTCAGAATCTAAGTTTTCCACTGCAAGCACTTGGGGCTTAAAGATTGAAATATGAGATGTACTAGGGGTGTACTGGACTTAGGAATTTACTTTTGGATGCGCAGACAAATGTTTCTGATGTAGTAAAACCTTGAAGAATCTGTCCTCTATCTTTTGTGTAAGAGCAATTAGGGGTTAGGGATGAATCTAGGTTAGAAGAGAAGTTGGCACCCTATTAGGGTTGCTATGAACGATAATTTGACTAACTGTTGCAGCAAATAAATAGAAAAAGAGAGAAGGGAAAGTTGAAGAGCGCATTAGACCCCAAAATTTGCCAAATAAGTCCACAATTTCGTAAATCTTAAACCTACTGAATTGCCACGTAAAAGAGACATTTATAAGCAGCAAATATTATTCCTAATGAATTACTAGGATTGTTAAGGATTGATAATAAAATCAAATCTGATTTAATAAAGACTCTAAAATAGACTAATAACTCTAATAAAAGACTCTCTAAACTAAATTGATTCTAATAAAGATTTAACCTAAAAGAAAGTAATAATAACTTGCAAAATTCCCTTGAAATTGCAAACTAATGCCAAAATATTCATAATTGCAAAGCAAGCCTATGAAATATAAATTATTCCTCCATGATTCTTCCTTGACTGCATCGATTTTCTGTTTTAAAGAGGAAGAATTAGAAGAGGAATTTAGTTTTAGGATTATAGTTTGATAAAATTAACTACTATAGGGACACTGTAATTTTAAGATAGGTATCAAGTTTAAATGCAAGACTTGTAAAGTTGACTTGTTATAGGGGAAGTTATGTTTACGATGCTAAGTATTTTGGCCTTTCGAATGCACATGCTCATAAGATGAATGTAGCTAAAATAGGAATGTTAAAGGTTGATGTCTGGTCATAACTTAAAAGGTTGAGAATGTAGCTAAAATACAAATGTTAAGGTTGATGTCTGGTCATATCTTAAAAGGTTGAGATAGAAACAATTAAGGGAAAACTATGAGAATGATGGCTTAGATGGTCTAGTTTTGTGTAATGTAGACCTAGGAATGCTGATGTTTTTTGTAGAGTGGTTCAGTTGAATGGAATCAGAAAATAGAGATAGGATGTAGTTTACATTAAGGGGCTTAATTTTTTAGATTTTTGTGAGAATATGGCCTTTGATCTTGTAGAATGTATTTAATGGGTTCATGTTGCCAACTTGAACTATTTTTTTTTTTTTTTCAACTAGTTTGGGAATTAAGTGAGTTGAACTGAGTTAGGATATGCTGTTCTTCTTCCAATTGAAGTATGCATTTTAGTAACATTATTTAATCTACAAAATGTTCATGTTCTAGCATTGCCGTGAAAGAATATAGAACTCTCCTGTTTGTTGTCCACTTTTAACCCTTGTATGATTGTTTGTATAATATTTTTGAGCAGATATATGCACAGAAGGAAACATTTATTAGATAAATAAGAAAAAGAAAAGAACCATATTGTTTTTCATATCAAAAACATGAGTTTTAACTTTGTCTTGCAGGTTCTGTTTAAACATGTCCAGGAGAAGCTTATTCTAACTGAGGTATGTTCGGTGTATAGAAAGTTGTTAATACTTACATAGTAACTCGCAACATTTTAAATTATAGTTTAACTAGCATTTAATTTTAATTTTTTTTCTTGATAGCTGGCTTATGTTGATTTTCTTTTGTCCTTGTTCCCAGTCAAAGTTAAAGGAGTCACAATATCAATTAGCACCTTGGCGCTCAGATGTGAATCATTCTAATTTTGCACCACAGTCTCCATCTCAATCCATTGGTGCAGCATTAGCAACTTCAGTATGCTCATGTATCTTCTTTTGACTGCTTTTGAGTGATATGGTGATTTTCTTATATTCCTATCTTTTCTTCTCAGAACAAAGATGGGCTTGAATTGGTGCCTCAGCCAACACATTCTCATGTTAATCCACCTACAAGTTCTGGCGCTCAGAGAACCTTAGATTGGGATCTTTTGGGTCACCATCAGGGTGGCTTAGATGGTGGTTTTCCACAAAACAGGGAACCTGATGATTTGGGGAGGAATTCACATTTTGTAAGCAGGTGAGCCTGGTCAAATGGAGACTGCTACTGTGAACTGAATGTACAAATTACAACCATTTTGTTGGTGGGTTCTGTCTTCATTGATTTCTTTTGTTGATTGGTCTTTCACTGAATCATTTTTCCGAGTTTCATGTTCCCATAAACAATTAATGAACCATGGCTAGTAAATCATACTTCCTCCAAATATTGTAGAGAGTAATCAACATAATCAAGTAACCAATTAACTTTGCTGGTAGACTTTTGCCTGATAAACTTTCCATATTTTGGAATGCTTTGTTGTTATCTTTACTTCTAAAATTTTGGGACGGTTTTCTTTTCTAAGAAAGTGGAAATGATGACTGGAGAAATTTTTTCAACACTGACCATTAATATGCTTTGAACAAGCCCTGTTTGAGCTGGAGTTACATAAAGAAAATGAAGCTGATCCAGTTGGTGTTTACTTCTTATTATTGTTTGACTTAGACATTTTAAGCTGTTTGCTTTCTTCTTTTTTTTTTTTTTTTTGTTTGTTTTCATTTCATTAAACATAATAAAAAGAAAACTGGTGAAGAAAAGCAAAAATTTATGATTTTACTTGATATGGAAACTATTGCTAAATCAAATACGTTACACCTTACAGGTATTGAGCTAAGTGCATGTAGTGATACACCCATCTGCACATGCATCAATTAAGCATGTTTGATGTCTGCAGTTAGATAAGCATAAATTGGTTTCTGCTTCATCTTTGGTACATGTCATAGGCTTTCTGTTGACAGATAAAAATATGTTAATGTCCTTTAATTTCCTTTGACCTTCTCTTAACTTCCCAGGATAAAGAATAGCTTCTATAGCTTACATCTTTGCATAAATATAGCTGATTTCATGAAACTTGTGATACATACCTGAATTGATGTACTGCCCTTTTTAAAAATCTCACAATAATTAATCTGAGTATGTATTCTTTTCTGTGTTTTCTTCCCTTTATCAAGTATTTTTTACTTATCCCTTTTCCAAAATAAATTTGTCCATAAATATATGCAAAATTTTCTGCAAACTCAGATGTTTGTATTCTGATGATAAGGATATACGGTAATAAATATTTGTTTGGGTCTAATCAATGAAGTGGTTCCTGATCAAGTGTTTTGGCTATGTATCAGGCCTTTTCCTGCCCCAGGAATAACTGCGTATGGTTCAAGATATGTTGAAGAAACAACTAACAAGCAAGTAAATTTTCATGACCCTGTCAGCAATAATGAGATGGATGATCCTGATACTGAAGGGCTGCAGAATGAAAGAGAATCTCCAGCAAACTGGGGCTCAGGAAGCTCTCCTTACACACCCCCTATTGATGATCCTAATTCCTCATATTCTTATTTAACCCCAGTTCTTGAAGAGCCTTCATCTTCTTATTCTGAGGGTAGCAAACTCACTTCACTTAAATTTTTGCTTAATAATTTAAGCATCACTGTTGACTATACTAAATTTTGTATATTTCTTTTTGCAGCAGCAGATGATGATCCACTGCCAGCCATAGATGGCCTTCAAATTTCAGGTGAAGCTTATCCAGGAAGAGAGCTCCAAGCATGTGGATATTCCATAAATGGAACCACCAGTTGTAATTTTGAGGTTAATTTCCTGATTCCTTTTCCTCTGTCAATGATTAATTTTAGGGTGTGGAAATCTTGGATGTTTCTTAAAATGCTTTCCGTTAGGTGGCGTGTTTTTTGGAATTTTTGTGCATTCACTTATAATCACACATTGTGATGTCTATTGGCAGTGGGTACGGCATTTGGAAGATGGATCTGTTAATTATATTGATGGTATTTTTCTTCTCCTTAAAGTTGGGGATTCTCCATCTGTATGTATATTGTTGTCATTACATCATCTGTATTCTAAATGAGTTTCTGGTGACAGGAGCAAAGCAACCAACCTATCTTGTTACTGCTGATGATGTTGAAACTTACCTTGCTATTGAAGTCCAGCCTCTGGATAATAAGAAGCGCAAGGTATTAACTTCTACATATTGGATAGGTTCTTCAATGTAGTTTCAAATGCTAGTGTTTTGTGCATGCATAGCCCTGTTTTTTTCCCTTTTCTTCTCCTTATTTGCCTCTAAATTTTGGTTGACTTCAATATCAAGAATGTATAAAGATGGCTTCTTTGCAGTGTGTCTCAATTATTTGAAGCACCTGTAACATGTTACGCATCTGATTCCTAGGGACTTAACTAGAACCAGGAAAAAGGGTCATTCATTATTTTGGTAAGGAAGATTGTTGATATATTGGCAAACATGTTGGTCTATCTAAACCTGCTTATGGTCTCTTTTCCAACATGCACAAGGTCTGTAATTTTCCTAGGTTTTTCTTTAAAGAAGGTTTATACTTCAATCTTTCTTTCTAAATCAGCAAAGTTTAGCATTTTGTTAAATATGCTTGTGGACCCATCATAACTTTTGCAATGTTGTATGCACAGGTTACTACTGGTGGCCTCTATTTGAATAATTTTTAGTAGTTTTTATTTGAATAACTTGTTTTGTTTGTGAATTAGGGTGAGCTTGTGAAGGTCTTCGCCAATGAGCACCGAAAGATCTCTTGTGGTAAGAACTTTTTGTTTTTCTTGCAAACCATTTATATCTTATGTTTTTTATTATTTAGAAATCTAACAGTTGGAAAATCATTGATAGGAGTTATGAACATGCAGCTGCATTTAACATTTACAAATTTTGTTACCATTGTACTTTAATGAACAAAGAGAAAGCAAATTGATATACAATATACAAAACAGCCTAGGCTGTTAGGGACTTCCCTTTCTTTTTTTTTTTTGGCTGTTAGAGATTCAATATTGTTGTTCTGGCTCATAGTCTGCTCTGGTTGTTTTATCAAGGAAGGACCAACCTCCTATACCTGTTTTAAATGTTTTGTATGTTTTATCAACCAGATTAAAATTTATTTTATTTTCTTCTCATCAGCTATTTGTACTGAATTGGTAACAAATTGTAGTTTACATCTCTTTTTGACTTGTTCTCTGGCCCTTATATGTAGCAAATTCTGTAATTTGTATATAACATTTTCTCTTTTCCTCTTTTTCTTCTTTGCAGATCCTGCCATGCAGACTCATGTGGTAAAGACTCATCAGAATGGCCATGTGTCATATGAAGTCTCCTTGTCGGTAAGACTCATGTATATTTCACATGGATGTATGAAGTGCCAGTTTATGATTACTTTTGCTATTTACTTATCAAGGGATTATCGGAAAAATAGTTCTAGGTTTGTATTTCGTTTTAAAGGGCCACTGTCAATAACATGCTCTTTTATGTTACAGACTAGATACCTTGACATATGGGAATCAGCAACATTGACCATCAAAAGGGAAGGTTACAGTATCAAGGGTAGTGGGGCCAGTGGAATTGTAGTCACTGAAAAGTTCTCACCAAACACCGTTGTATGATTTCTAACTTCAGGTCTTGCTTAAATTGGGAAAATTTTGATAGGTTGACATGGTTATGCAATCTGTGGTGGTAAAAGCTTTAATATTTGTCTGTCAGTTGGATTCAAATTTTTAATTGAGCAACTGAGCCATATAGTTATTATAACCTAGGACTCATTTTTCATAGTTCTATCAAGTTGAGTAAAGTTTTCTATCTTTATAATCTCTCCAAGTAAATTTGATTCTTAAAGTTTTTAGCTAGAAAAGAAAATTTAAATGAGCTTTCTTGTTCTTTTGCCACTGCAAACTACCTTCTTTGAGAAATAAACAGCTCTTTTGGCTTTGAGACTATTGAATTGACTCATTGTGTTTTATTTGCAATGCCAATGAATTGATATTTGACATTGCTTCAAAATATGGCTTTCTGTTCCTTTAGTTTATGTAATCCATATTAGATGTAAAAATTATTTTCATTGATCTTGCGGTTCACAAAGTTGTCATCTGAACCATATGAATTCAACTTGTAAACTATGAAATTTGATAAAAATCAATGCTCATGATAGGAGTTTGATTTTTTAAGAAGCATTTGAAAAAAATTCCAAAAATTTTCATATTATCTGATGATTGTTACCTTATGATGAATCAACCGTCTCAGTTGGGTGTTTTCTTAAATAGAAAACGGATAGTGTAGCTTAAGATAGTACATATTTGTAGAAGGAAAGACAAGGTTTCCATATATTCATGTGCAAGTATAGATTTTACTACAAGTAATTTACTAAGGGCTCACTGATTTTAGAAACTTTTTATATATACATAGTCCATTGAGCTGTAAGGAAGCCATTTTTTTCCCTGCATTTATTTTGGCATATTGATGCATGTAGCATTTTGTGTATTTATCATTATTGTATTTATTAGTTTACTGTCATCTGTAGGTCACAATCCCCTTTGGAGATCCTACACATTTTTCAATAATTGGATCAAGTGGTGTCAACTATCTTTTACGAGTAGAAAGCAGCCCCTTGGATGTTACTGGGTATGTTTGTTAAGTTATTATGTGTGGACGTAAATAAAGGATGAATATAATGACAAAATGAAAAAGACCACATGCTATAAGCTTAGTGCATCTTAGAGAGCCCCCCTAGTAAGTTTATCATTCAATTTATGCTAATGATGGACAAAGTTCTTCCATTTCCTTAGCTAAAAATGCTTACGTATTGTTGTTTCTTAAACTTACGGTATTATTGTTGTTTCTTACGGTAATGCTTAAAGTTCTTCAACTAATTTCTTAATTCTGAAAGGCATTTACCCATCAAACAGCTCATACATGCAGAAATGAGCACACACTTCTGTTTCCTGGAAGATTTATATATCAACTGACCCATGTCTGTGTGCTAGGGATGGAACTTCTGACATAGATCATGGATTAAGAGGGATCTATCATGTCTCCATATCTGCCTTCTTACTGTCTCCTATTGAGCTGTTTCCATGGCATTACCTGTCTTCTCCCTCGTACTCGCCCCTTTTCTCCTTTTTCAATGCAGAAGCTAACCTTCACTGTTACTCAATGTTCCCAAAGTTTTAAACGTCTGTCATTGCCTTCTCATCAGTGCATCTTTTAAGATCATAAGTAAAATCCCCAGAGTTTTCTGGCATATTTACACAAAGGCACCCGAAAGTTACTAAAAACTTGTAGTTTATCTTCTGCCTCTATCCATCTTCTTCATCCTCATTAAACTGGAATCTATAAGTATGATCAATCTGATGTAACAAGAACAGTCTGAAAACAATAACCACTTTTTGCTCAATGATATCGGGCCTATATTATAGGGTAAAACTAGGTGATAACAATATTGGTGCATCACTTCTAGTCAAGTTGTAGAAGGCTCACTTAGTCGATTTGACCTACACCAAAGGGAAGTCTAATTCTTAAAACAGTGATGATTGGTTGCACATCACTGTTTAAATCTTTGACAAATATATGGCCAAAAAAATCTTGGACAAATATGCTGCAATGATGCAGTTGTCCTTTGTGAACAGAAAACTCATTCTGGCCTAGAAAAAAGAGACATGGTAGTGTAAATTGGTTAGGTGATGCAGGTCAGCATTGTGGAGTTTATTGCAGCTTTGAATTTGATTATTGTGATAGAGGGTAAGGCATGGATTGGCATAAGAAAAGTCAATGTTTTTGGTTTATTTTGAACAAGTGAAGGACATATGGGCTGTTCCATGGGCCGTTAAGTGTGAACAGTAATTTGGTTTTATGGTTGAAATTAGATTATTGGTCAATATGGGTTGCATGGTGTAAAACTTGTTTAACACAGTGGGTCAATCCCCTTTAATATTTATCTCCATGTTTTTGCAGAATGTCTTTTTACGTTGCTGTCAAAATTAATGAGTATCTTTGATGTTTCTTCTATTGTTGGTTCTATTGTGCATTATGTAATTTTTAGTTAATTATTTATTTCTTAATCTTGCAGTTCAAGAGATTGTATTGTGCTCATCTTAAGATTGTTTATTATGAAGGTAAAAACTCTTCTTTATCCATTTTCTTATTCTGTAACAATCATGGACATAGACTAATGCATGTACATGAAGACTGAGACAAATCTAATAATTACAAAAATGTTTTCCATAGTTTTCTTATTTTTTGTGTACTCAACATTTAATCTACCATTCTCATAAAAAAAAAAAAAAGAAGAGAAAAAAACATATAAGCTATAATTGTACTCTTATAGAACCTAATGTCTTTAAGCATGCAAATGCAACATGTTGTTTTGATTAAAATTTAAAAGAATATGGTGTATTTAATACTTAAATATGTTACCAAATTTTAAACGAGTCAGGGTTTTCGAGGAGCTTTAGCATAACCTTGGTTTTGTTATTGTAATCCCATTATGAAATCTACCTGAATAGACATTTTTGGTTTCCTGCAAACAATATACCCACGGACATCAAAAAACTTTTAGCTTCAAATGACTCATCAAGACCTAGAGCAATAGGTCTGCTTTTGTGGACAAGTTTTAACGGAAATACAGTTAATGTCCATTCACATTTTACCTGTTGTGAATTACTTAATTAAAGGATTTTTGAAATGTGTATTTGTTGACCTGATAGAAAATCTCAAATTTTCTAACGGTTCATTTTCCCCAAAACTGCATTTACTTCTTTGCAATGTAGTCGACACCTTTTGTTGAGTCAATACGATGTTCCTCCTCAGAATTGTTCTATGGCTAGGTGTTTATACTGTATTTTTATTTTTTTTTGCAGGCTGGTGAGAGGAAGAAAGGAAAGAAGAGGGGTTTATTCTTTAACAAGGCATAGTCTGCTTTGCTTGGTTGAATAGGTAGCAGCATAGTTCAGAATTCAATATGCTTCTTCATTTGTTCAATAGCTAACATTTTTTTTTGGGTGTAATGCATCTAATTCAGGCAAAAATGAGCTTGAGCTATAATTGCATTTTGTATCGATAATTCCTTTTTGTCCAAAGAAAAGTTCTTGTTCTCGGTGCTCTATCACTTCTACCTCTCTCTCTTTCTTCTTCTTCTTCTTCTTCTTCTTCTTCTTCTTCTTCTTCTTCTTCTTCTTCTTTTGGAAATGTTGCAATGCTGGTTATACCGGCAAAATTGCAATGGAGGATATTGGAACGGAAATTGAAAGATGTAACGGTCAACTTTGCCCAACTTTGCTTCTTCGCAAGATTGTTGCATTTTTCAATAGCTTTAGATTTTGTTTGATTTAATGGAGTAGATAGAACTTGGTTTAGTGCATGAAATGGAGGCAAAATAAGGACTACTTCAAAGGGACCTTTTTTCTTCTATATAGAAGTCATGGGTGCCAAATGTCTGGAGATTAGGAAATTCATTTGGAATTATTCTTTCATTAATCTCGTCAAAGAATCAAATTTTGTGGGAGTCTTTTGCCAACCAAGCTAACAGCTCTTGGGCAGCTAGTTTATATATTAGACTTTGTAATATAGCCTCACTTTTAATAAGTTGAATTATCATTAAGTCGTTGTGTGGATACCACAGATTTTATCCACATTTGGGGTTAAAACCATGAGTTAAGGGTAGGGCTAGGTCACAGGTCTAAGATGTATCAAGAAGAAGGAAAAGGGTACGAAGTCCCTACTCTTGGTCTTTCTGCAAGGGAAAAATGGCGTTAGCCTTGAATCTCTACCTGTTTCCATCCATATCCCCATTAAGTACATCATGCTAGGCTTTGTGGTAATCATATTGAGCAGGAGTGTAGTTGAGTCAATATCTATTAATTATAAAATAGAATAAATGATGAGAATTGAAGACACCATAAATTTTTGTTTGGAAATTTTTTTTTTTAAATGACAAAAGTCAAACACTCTGCAAAATTGAATCAATGTGTATCACTTTGGTCCAGCCGCTAACAAATTATTTTTGTAGATCTTTTAATTCAAATCGTTTTGTTTATAGGGAATTAAATAAAATAATATTATTACAATTGCTGAGAATTTTGTTATGTGTTTTATTTAAGAGTTAATATTTAATAAGCAAATTTATATAAAATAATACTAATTATAATAATGTGACATTAAATTAAGATTTTCTATTGTTCTTCATTGGACCTGCTCCTAAGGGGTTAGGTGCTGTTTTCAAACTAGAAGAGACCAAAGTGTAACCATTACAAAACGCCGGGTGACTACAAGCAATTTATCCAACAATTTTTTAAACGTCAATACTGGTTCTTTTGGCGCATTCTAGTAATTTTTTATGGTTAATCTATTAATAATGATTAAAAAATAGTTGGCAACCAAAATTACATCAGTGGTAACCTGTTCTCATTCTCAAATAAATAAGAGGATTGAAGTTTAAGTTGTGTGCTATATATGCATAGGTTAGATTAAAAAATGAGAAATGATTATTTTTTATAATTTAAGATAAAAAAATTTAGAAATAATTGTATAGTTTAAATTAAATTATTTTATTTTTATTTAATAATTTTTATTTTTTAATATAATACAGTTTGAATTATAAAATTATTAATTTTATAAAGAAATTGCAAAAAAAGATATATTAATAATTGAAATAATAAGAATAATAATTAAAAAGATATTTATGTTTTATAATTTAAGTTATATATTAAAAATATAATTATCTTATAAATTTATTAATATACTCTTAATAAAAATTTTATTAAATTTAATAAATTCATAGCATTAATTTTTTTATGTACATTCCTCGTAAAACACTTTTTCATTCTCTAAATATATACTGTATATATAAGAATAAGTAAGAGGAATCAGGGTGTTCCAGGGGTTTCTAGTGCATCTCCGCAAAGCATTCTCTCTAAGCTTCTAGGGTTTTGCAGTTTACAGCTTCACTCCTCACAGTACACAGGAATCAATCATGCACGCCCCAGTTCTCGTTCTAAGTAAACTCCTCGCTTAAACCCTAATTCGATACCAACTGCATTTCAATCTCATCGTGAAACTGTATCTCCAAGTGTTCATATCGGAACTGCGGTTTTTCTTTCTGAAGATTTATAGTTTATACTTGAGATTTATTGTAGCTACCTTAGATTTAAGATTTCATGATTTTGTTTTCGTTTTCTTAATTTATTGATCTTCGTTTTTTTTTCTCAAATTGGAATGAGCAGAGGATTCGTTGAAACGCGAGTCTGGAGCCAAGGTCCACCATGCTAATATCCAGGCATCCAAGGTGAGAACTTTCTCTCCTTATTTTTCTGATTTTTTTCGGAATTAGTTTTCTGGGTGAAATGGTTGGGTTGTTCTACTGCTTGATGTTGTGTGTATTGTAACAGGCTGTTGCTGATATCATTCGTACAACCTTAGGGCCCCGATCCATGCTGAAGATGCTTCTTGATGCTAGTGGAGGTAACCCTTTTGCTTGTGTCGTATGGGTTTTATTATTTTTTATTTTATTTTATTTTTTCATATATGCACGAGCAAGGAATAGCTGAATTTGTACTTTTTCATATAATGTGTCCATATATGTTCTCAGAGTTCATATTCTTTAGGTTCTGTTGTTGTTGTGTTCTTTTTTTTTTCTTTTTTTAAGAAGTCATTGGATAAATGCAGATGCGATAGTAGAGTAATTTTTTTGTTGCCTTTGAATAGGACTCACATTCATTTCTCTTGTGTGAGCGTCTCATTTGAAAAAGCAGCTAAAACATGTTTCATTTGGTTGCTAAACAGGTATTGTTGTCACTAATGATGGAAATGCCATTCTTCGTGAGTTAGATCTTGCCCATCCAGCAGCAAAGGCATGATACTTTCAAATATTCCACCCCCAGCTGTTTCATTCTTTGTGAGTTTCTTTCTTCTTGTGTGTTTTCTTATTTTGTTATGGTTTTGTTTGTGGTGGCAGTCAATGATTGAATTAAGCCGAACCCAAGATGAAGAAGTAGGAGATGGAACAACATCTGTTATTGTTCTTGGTAATTTTTTTGATTTTGACCTTTGCCATGGTTATTTCAATTGACCAGTTCCTTGCTGGAGTTCAAAGATCAGAGCTATTCTTGTAATAGTACAGATTATATATATGCTTCACTCTCATTTCATCTGGTGATCTGTTTTGAAAATTTTACTTTCGTAGCTGGTGAGATGCTGCATGTTGCAGAAGCTTTTATTGGCAAAAATTATCATCC